AATATATTTGAACCTGTAGTAAAAAAAGTAATAATGTTATAATTAGTTTGACATAAACTGGAAATGTTAATAATTACAAGATATACCTTGAGACATTCGTCCAAATTCCATTTTATTAATGATGTTGGTAAGAATTGCATTTTCAATTCCAGCTTTGAATGTTTCGAATTCTGTGAATTTTTTATTTAGTGTTTCTTCGAATCCTGTGATTTTTTCTGTGAATATTTTTTCTGTGATAATTTTAGTTTCAGTTTGGAATGTTTCATTAAGAGCAGAAATATTTTCTTCAAGTTTTAACATTTGAGTTTGGGATGTTTTCATAATATTTGAAATATTTTCTTCAAGTTTTGAGATTTGAGTTTGGGATGCTTTCATAATATTCGAAATATTTTCCTGGGATTTTGAGTTTTGTTTTATAAAAAGGTAAAAAAAAATAAATTGAAATCCAAGGGTATAGTACTGGATCATATTTTCAGAGAAAATGATTTGAATCGTTTCAATCATTTCTAATTTTAAGTAGTCTTGAAGAAAATTGTAATAGATTTTTATTGCTAAAGTAATGAAATGCCCGAGCAAAAAAAGATCAGGCATGCTGAAGTTGGTGAGCATTTTAATTGTAGAATTTTTTTGATTGTTTTTTGACTTTGTGAATAAAATCTATGCGAGTATTAAAATTCCCTTTTTATACTTTTTATGACTCGTGACAGTAAAACAAGTCAACCAATAAGATGGCCAAATTAACATATCGATATACCGATACTGTAAAGATATAACGATAAAGTTGACCAAATTTGAAACATTTATTCGACTATAAAATTACTTTGATTCCTTAATATTTTAAAGTTAGATTTAAAAACATAGCGATAAAATCGGGATGGAAATTCCGTCGCTATTCCTTAATACTGTAATAAAATAAAGATCTTTATTATAATTAAAACTCACGGAGCGTGATCTACAAATGAGTTTTAATTCTAGTGAAGTAAAACAAAGCAAGTTTCCTTTTGCATGGTCATGAAATAACGATAACGCCTAAACTTGGTTGATTTCATCCTATCGTTATACATTTGTTAATTTCTAATTTAAACAAAAGAAACAAGTTAGTATACTTGTACGTAATTTGATTCTATTTATAATCAGATTCTGCGGTGATGTATAAAAATACTTTCAAAACAAAATTAAATAGCTCAGTAGTTTATCGCAAGCCGAAATAGAATTCTGCCCGGATTATTTACTTGCCATTTAGGGATTGAATTGCCTAAAATTTTCGAACAGTTTAATTATATTAACCGTTTAAATTCAGCTAACGTTAAAGTTACACTAGTCAAAAAAGGAATATTTAGCCTAGACAAAATATCAAACAAATTTAATAAAAACTTTTAAAAATACTGTTTCAAATATTAAGAAAAACTCGCCAAAAGTACTACGTATAATCTCTTTGTATTATTATCGATATGCAATATTTTGTTGGTTATTGAACTGATGCAGAAATGTCCATTGTTAAATTATAAATAATTCATTTTTGATTATTAAAAGCAAAAGTATTTTGTATTATACGAAACATACAAGTAAATCATGCCTTATTTGTTATGAAGCTTAGTCATATCACAAAAATGTGATCCTAAAACGAACTTTTGGTCATTTAGAGGAATTCAATTTCGTTGAAAATTATTAGATCATCACGTGATCTAAAATTTGGTGTTTAAAATTCAGATCTATCGCTATAACTTCATGCCCAGTGATCTTGCAAATATTTATAAAATTTGTTGCACAAAAAAGAAAAAACGGACACTTACCACGTGATTTTTGTACTTACCTGAACCACGTGATTAAACACTTACATGGTATATTGTTAACAAAGATATCTCTGACAACCACCCGATGAAACTTTTTTATTATAATTCTACATATTCACAAAATCTAAATAAAAAAATTTTCAGTGAATTTCATCAGGAGGTTGTTGAGATATCTTCATAACGTCTATCACTACTTTAAGTTTTTTTTTTAATAAATCTTTAAACGAAGGTATCTCGACAACCACCTGATGAAATTCGCTAAAAATTTTTTTATCCAGATTCTATGAATATTCTTAATCATAATAAAAAAAATGTTCATCGAATTTCATTGGGTGGTTGTTGAGATATATTGTTTAAAATTTCAAAAAAAAAAAAAAAACTTAAAAGTAAATTGCAATTTGGTAGACATTTTGAATATTGACCCAAAGATATCTCAACAACCATCTGATAAAATTCGCTAAAAATTTTTTTTGTGAATATATAGAATTAAAATAAAATGCGCGGATGATCCTCGATTTTGATTGGCTAAAAGCGACGATCAAAAATTTTGGCCGGAATTACTCAAAATTTTACTAATGAAATCACAGCCGCCCATTATGTGAAAATTGTTCCTGGGCTGATTTTAACATAACGCGAGCCTATTTCTTTAAAAATTTCTATTTTTAGAATGAAAAAGTTAAAAAGTTAATTCTGGCCAGAAATGAGTAAACAATTATGTAATGCGGGCCAAAATTTTGTAGATCCACGGCCGTTAGCCAATCAAAATCGAGGATTATCCGCGCATTTTTGTGCGTCACCTAGGTTCGATGTAACAATTGTCCAAAAATTAATCCTTAGTATGTACTACGTAGTACAACACCTGATAGAGCTTGTCACACGAATAGCGATAGTAATTTAAACATATAACTACGTAGCATTTAATCCTCCATTCTTCCAGATAGCATATTTTTTTTGTATTTAAAATGTCGATTAAAGGTTTTTCTAAAATCTAAAATACAAAAAAAAGATATTAACTTTATTAGATAATATTACTAGGAAATACTTTCAAACAATTAAATTTTATTGATTATCAAAAATCGGCATATCGATATATGAATAATCCAGAGGGAATATTCTGGCTTGGTTATTGCTACGGATATGGAATTGGAGTTGAGAAGGATGAAAATAAAGCATTTATTCATTATCAAAAGTCTGCAGATATGAATAATTCTA